ATAATATAGTATAGATTATTTTTTTTAATTTAATTTAAGTTTAATAATGAAATGATTTATTTTTGGTTTAATAATATATCATTTCATAAAGGTAATAATTAAGTATTTTGTTAGAACTCAATGATTATCCTAAAGATTTTTTATATTTAAAATGAGATGTTTATCCTGTATTTGATTGTGTTTATCTGCAGTTAGTTACACAAATTCAGTTATGGGATGAAATCGGATAGAGATGAAATTGTTTAGGGATGAACGGGTTTAAGAGTTTTTAAGAGTTTTAGCCAAATGCTTTATAATATAGTATAGATATATATATATATATATATATATATATAGGATTGGGTTCACATTGGAACAAAGGTTTTTGTGAGACCCGTAAGATCAATTTATGTTCATTGATCAACCTTATAAGCTAATGATCTAATAGTCTAAAATTGCACGGTGACAATTTTGTAATTATTGAGAAATCTCGTGACAATTTTGTGATTAAGAATGTTCATATTGTAGATCTAATCCAAGAGTTGAGAATTAGTCTTACGGGTCTCACAAAAAATCTTGATCTCACATGATCCCAAGTGTATATATATATATATATATATATATATATATTAATAATTATTAGTCAATATATATGAAATAATATTTTAAATATGATAAAAAAATATATTGAAAACCTATGTATGTTTTGTTACTTAATATAAATGAAATATTTGTTGTTTATTTTAATTATTATATAATATCATGTTATAATTGGATAACTTTTAACATGTTTTTTGTGTTATTTATATTTGTTAACTAACTTATTCACAGGCAGATTTAAAAATTTACCAAAAATTTCCATTTCGTTGCATCCAAGATTTTTGAGACATTTGGTATAAAGTTTTTTCGAGTGACGACGTCATTCGACTACAAGAAACGAAGTTATAGATATTTTTTTAGAAAATCATTATTGGTCTATTGGTTAATTTCTTATTTTTTTGTATTTGAGGTCTTTTGTTTGAGTTTTTATCACTGGTTTTTTCAAAGACATAAAAAACCTGAGATTAACAGCTAAAAACTAAGAAAATGGTTGAAACGATATATGATTCTGTGATTGGGATGGAAGAAAAGCTATTTAAACCAACTCTAACAATTTTGTGCTATTATTGTAATTCCAGTGACACTCGACGTTATAATACGGTGATACCATTCACGACCCGAAGATTTTTACCGTATGACGTAGAAACGAAGCGATGGCTAGTGTTGCAATTATCTTATACATTGGGATCGTCCTTGAAATTATCAACCAATTTTTATCAAACATGATTAATTTATCAGCTAGTTTTTCACTAACAACTTAGGGGGCGTTTGGTTCGCAGATTCTGATGGAATTAGAATGTTGAATTCTATTGACCAAATTTCATTCATTTTTAGTTCATTTTTTTCACGAAGGAAATCTTTAAAATCCTACAAATTTCACAAATAAAGAAATTTAACATTACTTAGCAACTACATGGTATTTTGATGGAATGAAACTCTCTATTTTCATAATATCAAATATGTCCTTAATCCAATATACCCTAATTTCATAAAATCCAATATAACAGTTTTCGACCACCTCCGACGATCGTCGATCTGAATCACCGCCGACCACCACCATCTTTACCACTGCCGATGACTGCCATCCGAACCACCATCGACCACCGTCATCTGAACCACTACCGACCATCGCCAGGTGAACCACGCCGACTATTGCCGATCTGATCCACCGCCGACCACCACCGTTCTAAACCATCGTTGATCTGAACCACCATCGACCACTACCGATCTGAACCACCACCGATCTGAACCACCGTCGATCTGAACCATCGTCGATTACCGCCATCTAAACTACCGTGGACCACCACTGATCTAAACCACTATCCACCATCGCCATCTGAACCACCACGAACCACCATCGATTTGAACCACGACCAACTACTACTGATCTGAACCACCTTCGATTTGGTAACGTTGTTTGGCTTATGATTTATATTTGAGTTGTGTATTTTATATTGTTTTACATATTAAATAATTATTTTATTAAAGTATTTCTAGTTTTTACAAAAATAAAAATTTTCAAAAAAATTGCATTTTGATCATTTACCAATATTTCATTCAAATTTCAAAGCTATATTATGTGAACCAAACAGACAGATTCAAATTCCTTAACAAATTTTATTCCAATGTTTATCAACCAAATAGGTGGTCAAATCTAACAACATTTCATTTCATTTCAATTCATTCAAAGTCAAATTATTTTAACAAATTCCATTCTATCTAAAAATATTCTACAAACAAAACGCCACCTAAAAATACAGGGTTTATTCATCTTTTAAAAAAAGCAATTTATTAAAATTATAATTTGCGGAAATAATGAATAACAGAAGCGAAAGCAGAGGGACGTTAAAAGGCGCCGATATGAATTAGGGTTTCCATTCACTTCGGTATCTATCTATAAGAATCTCACATTTACTGATTCCTTTAGGTTTTAGCCACAACCATCGGAATCAATGGCGGAGGAAACGTCCACCGGAGTAGTCGTTCGCTTTCATGCCAACAAGGGTTACGGTTTTATCAAGCCAGATGAAGGCGGCGAAGATCTGTTTGTTCATCAATCCGAGATCCAAGCTGAAGGCTACCGTACCCTCCAGGATGGTGAGAAGGTTAAGTTTCTAGTTGTTGAAAAGAACAATCGCCACCAAGCTGTGAACGTTACTAGTTTAGATGAATCTATCGGTGACAGGAATCGTAAGCGTGATGGTTATGGTGGCGGAGGTCGTAGAGGTGGTGGTGGTGATGGATACGGGTTTAATCGTGATGGTGGAGGGTTTAGGGGAAATGGTGGTAACGGCGGTGGGTACCGGAGTGGCGGTGGGTATAATGATGGTGGAGGGTTTAGGGGAAATGGCGGACGTGAGTGTTATAATTGTGGCGGAGTTGGGCATCTAGCTAGGGATTGTAGTAGCGGCACTGGTGTCGGTGGTGGTGGTCGTCGCGGCGGCGGTGGTGCTTGTTATAACTGCGGAGGGTTTGGTCATTTAGCTAGGGATTGTTCTCGCGGAAGTGGAGGTAATGGTGTTGGAGGCGGTGAATGCTACACTTGTGGTGAGCCAGGGCATTTGGCAAGGGACTGTACGGCAGGAGGTGGTGGTGGCGGCGGCCGTGGTTACTCTAGATCTGGCGGCGGTGGTTACAGGTCTGGTGGTGGTGGTGGTAACTGCTACCATTGTGGAGAGCCTGGACATTTCGCTAGAGAATGCCCAACCAATTCTTGATTAATAAACTAACAAAAGTGTATCCTCAAAACTAGTATGACGATTATGATCATTTGGGGTACATTTGGTTGATTGATTTTAGCTTTTCTTTTGTTAATTGGCCTATACATCTGAAGGAACATTCTACTCTAGTAATCGTGTTGGTTATTTGCACAATTCTATGAACATATTGTGGTGGCTAGTTAGTAGTCGCAATTTTGCTCATGAACTTGAGAATTATCATATCTTTTAGTAAATTTCTCCTCAGTTGTCCATATAACCCTGTGTTGATCGTGTTATTTCGATTTGGTTGATTTGATTGGCTACTTCATGTACTTACTCGGTTCTTCATATGTGTCTTGTTCAATCCCCTTCTCTTGCATCTTTGTGTGCAGATCCTGTGGCCATTTGCCTTGTATCATATATATGGTGAAAATGCGGTGGCTATATATGCCTTTTCTTGAAATTTTCACATTGGTTCAAGGTGAAATATGGTTTATATCCAACCTTTGGTGCTGGTTTGTGTTGTTTAATGATTTCCCATCTGAGGGTGGAGGTGAAGTTTGAATGATAACCAACCTTTGGTGTTGATTTGTGTGATTTAATGAGTTTTCATCTGGGTTTCAAGCAGATTTTTAATTATGATTATAATTTTTAGAATCTGCAGTGGTTGATCCTCTGATAATTTTCAAGATAGGTGCTGCTAGTTTTGGATTCGCATTTGCAATCGATGATCAGTAGGCAGTGGCACTGCATACATTTACTTAACTTATTTGCACTTTTCTTGATTTGGCTGATTTCTTGTTCGATTATTATTAAAGTTGATCTTTAGTAGATTATCTGCTGTAGGACATCATGCTTAATCTTAAATTACATCGATGGTTCTAATATGTTGGCAGTTAGAGTTAGAGCACGCACACGATTGCAAATGTGCCAATGCATCTTCAACCTTCGATGACTACTATCCCAGGTTAGTGTCGTTTATTAATTTGTTGACCGAGTTTTAATCTCATAATTGCTATCTGAATTTAGCGCCCAAGCCCAACTGCCCTAGTTCTAATTTAGGGTCAATGCGCATAGGCATTAAAGGGGCTTGAGTTTCCTGCTGTATGGCGGTGGGTGCAAATGTTCATAGATTTATTCTGATTCATGTAATGATCGTAGTTATGAGCTTATCGTGATCAGGGTTGCGTACCATATTGCTAATCTGAAGGTGCATTTAGGTTCACTTTAATATGTCATTTTGTTTCTTTTAGTTTGGAGACTGGGAACAAGACTTTGCACAACATTTCTCACAAAAGAACCAACCTATTTGCAGGCTTATAGAGGTTGCCTACTAAGTTTACTCACAGACAATTGGTGGTAAATGGTAGTACCTTATATTTTGGATGACTTAAATTTGTTATTGTTCCAACTTTAAGGGTTGTAGTTGTTTTATATATCTAAATTGAGGTATAGTTTTTGCATAAGGGTTTGTAACCGGCAACCTTCAGCTCATACCACCCGATCCCGTCCCAAAGCATCATAGATTGCCAAAATGCGGCCCTGAGCCAGGCTTGGCCTGGCCGGTCCCAAATTGGCCCCGGACCAAAAGTCCTAGAACCAATCTAGGCCCGGTTACCGGTCCCAGATCTGGTATCAGGTCCGGTCTGGTTGTAAAAAAGTATTTTAAATCTTTTTTACATACAAATGTTATACATGCTTTAATAATTATGATTTTTGAAATTTAGTATTGAAATACACTTTAAATAATACATTGAAGTAGATAAAATCTTGAATTTTGAAAAACAAACTTGAAAAACTTGTATTGTAGTTTATAAGAACTTCAAAAAGAAGTTGAGAAGTCGGGCTTATTATCAACTGATCCTGTGCCGGGCCTTGAAATTCCATAAAATGTCTAACCAAGCCTGAACTGTTAGGCGATGGCTAGTCTTGGGCTGGGCCAAACCCTGATCTGAGTATGGAGTATGGACCAAGCATCTCTGACTCTTAAGACAAATTAGGTATACAAATTAGGTATACAAATTACTTTCATATGTTTATACAAATATACCATCTCAAAATCAATTGTACCATGTTCTAAGGTGTATTTGTCTTGAAGTTATATGCAAAGGATTAGATAGAAACTTTTGCTCCTTGAGGTTTAGTGAGAATTTAAAAATGGGACCTGAACTTTGATAAGTCTAGAAATCATCCTTGTGGTTTGCATTTTGCTTTGAAAATGGTTTCTAGCCATCAACTCTATTAGGGAATTTCTGTTAAATGAGGGACATTTTGGTCTCTGCACCTTTCCCTCATCGCCGGTCACCATGTCAGGCTTCTCCCCACCACGTGTCACCATCTTCAACTCGTAACCCAAGCAGAACCGACTTTCATACATCATCGAAACCTCATCGGTGAACCGTACCCACCCTCTACGTCTTCTTTGAAGACCTGTTCGGTTGTTTCCCTCCTCCCACACTTCCAACTCCTTGACCCAACACAACCCCTTAACCTAACTGTATTCCCCTCTCCAATCCATTGGTAACCCCGTTCTTCCAGCTGGACATATGTGAATGATCATCCACTCTCAACTGATCTATTTTATCAGATGATTTGTACATAGTTAGGAACTTAAGAAAGCTTCATCAAATTCAAGAATGGAGTCTTTATTCACTGTGTGTATGAATCTGTGGGGGGAGAGGGATCTTAAGATTTCGTACCTGTAGGCTTATTATATACACAGTATATATTAGTATAATAAATAATATATATATATATATAACTTTGTCAAAGAAAATTAAAAAACAAGTAAAAAGGACAAAAGATATCCCTTAGGGTGTGTTTGGTATGCAGACTGGGTGGGATGGGATAGGAAGGGACAAAAAGAAATAGTCACGTGTTTGGTGGTGCTATGGGACAACATGGAACAAAAGTAGGGGTGACAAAAAATGATCCAATCCATTAATCCAACCCATTAACCCAATCCGAATCCAACCCAAAATTAGCAGGTTCAACCCATTTAAATAAATGGGTCAACCCGTCTAACCCATTTAAATAAATGAGTTGGGTTGGGTTGAATTTTTTGACCCATTTTCAACCTGTTTTCAGTCCACTTAAAATATTATATAAATTTATTTTATTCTTAATATTATATCTATTTTATTTTTTATTTTGTTCTTCTTAAATAAATTGATCCAAGTTTCATGATGATTCTTCGATTTCAATCTTTCAATAATCAATTCTTCATACGCTTCATTACTAATCAGTATCATGAGTCTCAACACTTGTTCGATTCTTCAATTCTTCAATCTTCATACGCTTCGATTATCAATCTTTTCCCCTTCTTTTGAGTTCTACCTTCTCCAATCAAAGAATTGGGTTGGTTTCAAACTTTCAGTTTCCAATTTGAGGTTGAGGGCTTGAGGAGTTGTTGAACGATAGCAGAGTATGTTCTTTATGATTATGTTTGTTTGTTTAGTATTTTGTTGTTAAACTTCGTATAGATCATATGAATTTCATGTTTTCCTTTGATTATTTGTTACTTTATGACTCTCGAACTTTAATGATTTCTTTCAAGTTTGAATTTGTTATTTGTGTGGTGTGGCTATCTGTTTCTATCACTGTACCTATACCTCATAGATAATTGTTATCATTCGTCTTCATTGAGATAATTATACAAGCTACATATAAGTTGTTGTTTTGTACGCATGAATTACACTTGCTGATGGACTAATGGTCTTAGGATTTTAGGTACGAGAGTGAAATTGGAGTTGATGAAAGTGGAAGTCGAGTTACTTAGAATTTAAAAAAATTTCAACTTATTTTGAACAATATATTTGTTGTGGTTGTGTTTTATTCAAACTTTAAACAATTTGGTTGTATTTGTGGTTGTGTTATGTTTTATTCAAAAAAGTTAAATACTCTAGTTCTTTTTTTATTTAAAATTTTAAAATTAAATGGGTCAACCCAGGTTTAACCCATTTATTTAACAGGTTGAGTTAAAAAAATCGTAAACATGTCAACTTGCTATCAACCCATTAATCCAACAGGTTGGGTTGGGTTGAAAAATCTCAACCCATTTAATTAAATGGGTTGGGTTTGGTTGAGATTTTCAATCTGTTTAATAAATGGGTTAAACCCGAACCCAACCTGACCCATTGCCACCTCTAAACAAAAGTAAGATTGAGTAGGACTATTCTTGAGTTTTTTTGTTCCATCAAAAAAGGTACAACATGGGACTAAATTTGAAATTACAATATTGCTTTTATTATTTGATATAAAAATACAAACCTAATTTAATTGCATCCACTTTCTTCTCTTCCACAGCCTCCATTTTCGATTCCAGTCTCCATTCATGAAATGTTAAACTTTTGACGATGACGTGACAAATGTTATTTATAATTGTTGTGTTTAAACTTTTTAAATTATGCTCGTATTTAGAATTTGTCGTATGACAAATGTTATTTACATATGGTCTTGGAATGTTAAAAAAAATTGATATCATAGATTAATTAGTTTAAATATATTTTTGGTTGATTCGTTGTCATTTACAATCATTATATGATATAAAATAACATTGAACACCATTTAGGGGTAATATGATCATTTTAACAGTTTTGTCATGTTCTAGTCGTACCAAACATAGGACAGACAATAGTCCTGTTATGTTCTATCTCATGCAGTTTGCGTACCAAACACTACCTTGCTTAACAGAATTTTTTAACGAAGTTCGTGACTAAAGACCATTTTCAAAACAAATGCAAACCACAAGGATGGATTTTATATTAATCAAATTTAGGTCCTACTTTCTAACTTTTCACTAATCATCAAGGACCAATATTAGAGTTTATGATATGATAAATTATAAATGTATGTTACCCTAATTTGTAAGTAGGTCAAAATTTTGGAGATTCTGAAATTGTATACTAAAATAAGGGGTAGAGTTAGGGGTCATTTACCAAATTTTTATCTGAGTAAGTGCTTACCAAGTAACATTATCTTACCGGATGAATATGGTAAGGACAAAAAATCTTACCCGGTAAGAGCGAAACAAGGACCAAGAGTCTTACCCAGTAAGTGAAGGAAACGACTCTTACCACGATAAGCGCTTACCGTGTAAATTGTTACATACCATGTCGTTTTTGTGGACTAAAATCTTACCTAATAAATAAACATTAGTGTTAAATTTTACCGGTAATCACTTACCGGGTAAGTGTTTGGTAAACGGCCCCTTAGAAAATCTA